TAACTACTAATATTATTATATATATAATATACTATGCTAAAATCTATTTTGTAACAATATTTATAATCTTTAATAGTATTTGTATAGTTTTATAAAAAATTCTATTAATAAAACCTATTATTCATTGTATAATTGAACTTACTAATGCCTTCATATAATAAAATATAATGCAACATTATATATTATTTCAAATTTCATCAAAAATTTATTTAAGTTTAATTTAAAAATTACCTAACAACTTTTTATAATCTTTTGATCAAAAAACTTTAAAATTTTGAATCATTAAATTGAATTACTTAAGATTAACTTTGACAGCTTAATTTTTATGCTTTTTATAAATTCAAGTTAACATTTTTACTTATATTTATGTCAATAAAGATTTTTTTTACTTAATTCCTAATATTAATCTGTAGTTTTAAAGATAAAAAGAATAATTAGCTATTAAAACATAAATATCATTATTTTTTTTAAGTAAAATCATAATTAAACAACAATTAAATAACAATCAAAGATTATTTATTTTAATATACTTGTTTGGTTTTACTCACACTTAATAAGTAGACAACTAACCTTTATTAATTCTTTACAAGTATAATGTACAGTAATTTTTATAGACAAAAAAGCTAATGAAAAAACCAATATTATGTGCCCAATCTATCACTTTTGTTGCATATCACTTTACAATAAAGAAGAAATTCGAGCTTCTTTAAATTATAACAACTATATTTTTTTTTCGTTAAAACTTTATTAAGTGCTTTATCATCGTACAAAGATGCAATGAATTTACATTTTGATATGTACTTAGGTAACACAGTAGGAATCATCTGATCTTTGTCAAAAACGATCAAAAATAATGCAACACGTGATTTGTAATAAATGCTCAATTATCTTCGCATTGGCAATAATAACAACTATTAAAAAAGATACTATTTGTGGATAAAATAAAGAAAAAAATTGAAAAGAAAAGACCCAGAATTGCGTGAAATATTGCGATCTAAAGAAAATTTTTTTTTGTTGCATTATTTATGATAGCCAGTGTATGACATTTATTTTCAACCAGTCTGTCAGGTGGTTATCGGGATACCTAATAAATGCAAGCTATTAAAATTTTTTGACTTTCCAAACCAAAATTTTTTGCTCAAAATTTTAAAAACTATCGACAAATTTGATTGGCTATGTATTTAAAGTCGTCCGTAGAAAATCATCAAACCGGGACATTGATTTTACGTTACACCAGATCTTGATCTCGTTTCTACGTTTACAAAGGATAAATGAACAATTCTGTAATAAAAGTATGGTCTCAACATCGCCTGCAATCAGTGGACCCATCTCCTAAACCAATACCCGCAGCATCATTAGTATCGAGTCCAGGCAAACCTGTGGACGCACAAAATATAGATACGCATGGAAGTAAGGAAAAAAAGGCTATGGCGAAAAACAATCAAAATAAGGACTTGAAGAATTCAAAAAGTAAGAAATACTATTCAATTGCTCCTAAATCGATTACTTAATAATTTAATTTAATTTAATTTATTATAGGCCCAAAAAATGAAACGCTATCTACTGTGCGATTATCCGATTTAGGAGGAATAGATGCTTGTATAGAAGAAGTTTTGGAATTAGTGGCAATGCCATTGGCCCATCCGGAAATCTATTTACACACTGGTGTTCAACCACCAAGGTTGGTTATTGATATCTTTTGTTTATGTGGGCAAATTTAACTTTATTTTAACATTAGAGGAATTTTATTGCACGGACCTCCAGGGTGTGGAAAAACATTGCTTGCAAACGCCATTGCTGGGGTACGGACCTGTAATAAATCTAAATTCTTTCTAATAAATGACTGAAATATTTACATATAATAATGGTAGGAATTAGGGGTACAATTTATTAGTATTTCCGCGCCATCTGTAGTATCTGGGATGTCTGGAGAGTCTGAAAAGAAAATTAGAGATGTTTTTAAAGAAGCTAGGGTGAGCATAGAATGCAGCGCAAATGTTGATGAATATAGTCACTATACTATAATTTTTCTGACTAGTTTTAATTACTCTTTAAAGAAAAAAGCACCGTGTCTTATTTTTATTGATGAAATTGATGCTATCACTCCAAAAAGAGAAACAGCTCAACGGGAGATGGAAAGACGAATAGTTGCACAACTGCTAACATGCATGGATGGTGTGTAGTATTTATTAAATTTATTCTAACACGTTCCTATACATAGGATATTTATTGAATATGAACTATATGTAGATCTTTCATGGGATAAAACAGACAACAAACCCATATTAATTATTGGTGCGACAAATCGACCAGATTCACTTGATCCGGCACTTCGTCGTGCCGGAAGATTTGATAGAGAAATTAGTATAGGAGTTCCAGACGAGCAATCACGAGAAAAGTACGTTTCTATAGTACATTTAAGTGAAATTCATGAATAGCTATCAAAGTTTATTTTCAAACACAGGATTTTGAGCGTAATCGCATCAAAATTAAAACTCTCTGGAGACTTTGACTACAAGACACTTGCAAAATTAACACCTGGATATGTAGGCGCTGATCTGAACGCTTTGACAGCTGCGGCTGGTGTTATAGCTGTCAAGCGAATATTTACAAAATTAAGTGAAAATAACTGTGCTATGGATGAAGATTTATCGGAAATGCATATAGATGGAAAGCAGCAAGATTCTACCCGATTCGAAGATCAATCACCTTCAGATCAAATGCGTTCAATATCCATCTTTCTTAAAAATCATCCAGACCCACTTACAGAAGAGGAACTTGAACCTCTTAGTATCACTAATGATGACTTTTTACAAGCACTTTCAAAAGTTCAACCTTCATGTAAGCGGGAGGGGTTTGCTACAGTACCTGATGTCTCTTGGTCGGACATTGGTGCATTAAGATTTGTAAGAGATGAATTGAGAATGGCAGTAGTTGAGCCGATTAAACATCCGGAATTATTCAAAAGAGTTGGAATAACAGCACCCTCTGGAGTTTTGTTATGGGGACCACCTGGATGTGGGAAGACGCTCTTGGCTAAGGCAGTGGCCAACGAGAGTCACATAAACTTTATTTCAGTTAAGGGGCCAGAGTTGCTAAACAAGGTTTGCAAATATTTTTCATATGAATGGTGAGTTTTGGATTTTTAATTGAAGCAAGTATAAATTTCTCATAATAGTATGTTGGTGAGAGCGAACGTGGCATCCGACAAGTTTTTAATCGCGCCAGGGCATCATCCCCATGTGTCATATTTTTTGATGAACTTGATGCGCTTTGTGCACGACGTAACGATTCACAGGTTATACACATCCATTGAATCCAAAACTTTTAAGAGATATCAAATTGCTTAATAATTATGGAATGTTCTAATAAATTAGTCTGAAACTTCGGCGCGTATCGTTAACACACTTTTGACTGAATTAGATGGGTTAGAAAATCGAAAACAAGTTTATATTATTGCAGCTACAAATAGACCAGGTATATATTAGAGATTTATTGTAAATTTGCTTTTTACATGTTATTCACTAACAAATAAAAAATCTTTTGTAAGATATTATTGACCCTGCAATGATGCGTCCTGGACGCCTGGACAAGCTTTTATATGTAGGATTACCTACAGCATCTGAACGATATGAAATCTTAAAAACTTTAACAAAACAGACTCCTTTAGGTGATGATGTTTTATTAGAAAAAATTGCCGAAGATGAGAGATGCTCTAATTTCAGGTTTGTATTGACGTAATCAATACATTGTCTAAATCGGATAAAAGAATTAAAAAAAATTTTCCCCCTCCCTAAAGTGGCGCGGATTTAGCGTCTCTAGTGCGTGAAGCTGCTGTTGCAGCATTACGAACTACTCTTTATTCACAAAATGAAATCCCGGTAGATGATATAATAAAACCCGAGAGTGAACTTTACGTGACTTCAATACATTTTGAAATGTCATTTTCTAAAGTGTCACCAAGCGTGTCTAAGTTAGATAAACTAAGATATGATTCATTAAAAATAAAGTTTGGTTATTCATTTTGAGTAATGAAAATGAATATTTCTAATATATTTTTATAAAAACTTTCAAAAAATATAAAAATAACTATTAAAAATAACAAGTTATAGAATGCCTACAACAGTTTGCGGATTCTGCATGTGTTGTTAGATTTACGTGTAGACGCTTTGTTCTTGTTAAAAGCCTACAATATTTTACACCATAAAATAAATAGCTTAAAAACTATTGAACTAAATTTTATCCTAGCCCGAAATTTGAATGACTATAAATACTTAGAAGAAAGTGAGAAATGAGTGAAATAAAACATTTTCTACTATATAGCGATAAATTACAATTATATTGCCAAATTTTCGCGTTATTTGAGTATATGCGCGTTAATTAGAGTACGCGCGGGCGTTATTTCGAGACAAAGATTGATTTTTAATAACAATAGGCTTACTTTTCTAAGTAACGACAATGTTTGCGTTATATATAAGCAGTAGTAACAAGAGAAAACCAATACCGATACTGTATATATTGGATGCGTATTATTTCGAAGTCTCATTACTTTGAGGAAATGCGATTTTCTAAATAATGCCCATGCCCGAAATATGACTTACCTTGATACGTACGTATTCAATTGGTTATTAAGAAAATGATCTTTTGCAGCAGAGAGGGATCAAACTGCATGCCAACAAATAAACACTAAATCTCCGATCAAAATCTTATTTTTTGGCTACAAATGCCCCTATATTTTATGCTGTTTTTTAATTTTGTTCCTCATCGAGGAGGTGTTTTAACAGTAAATACAATGAAATACAATTACGGGTATTTTGTCTCTGCTGCTTCGCGCAAATACCCAATCATGATGCAGATTTTGAGAGCATCGATAAAAGGTGCTAATAAATCACTCTTAGTTGTGGACTAAGTTTTTGATTGTCGTCCCGAAAGGCCTTTTCGAAAATTTCCTTTCTATTTTACGCTCTAAATCATCAAAACGATACCTACCCGAGCGTAATGTGCTTCGCAGATGATAATTTTTTGTGACTGTTGTCCCGACAGGCCACCTACCAATAATTATAAGATTGACAGGCCAAATCCGAATGCATTGTGAACCAAATTGATAATATTTTGACTCGTCTCGACAGGCCACCACTAAAAAAATTAAGGTTTGACTGTCGTTCGACAGGCCAAAACCCACTAACATTCACTAAGCAATGACTATTGATTTATTATGTATTACTTGAACTAGACATTTTCTTTAAAATGAAAGCTATTTTAAATGAATGAATAGGTAGATAAGTATTTGCAAAATTCGAATTGGGAATTAATTGATTGTATATTCTAAGATTATAAAGAAAACTAAACGTTATGTAAATTATGTGAAAACTTTTTTATTTTTAATCCATTAATTTAATTGTAATTAAATTTATTTTTATTAAAAAAATTTTGTTATATTTGTAATATACGTACAATGTTTAAAATAACAAATATATTGTTAAATGTCATTATTACAATAGTCACAATAAAGGCATATATATGAATTGTAAATAATCATAATTTAAAGTTTTATTTTCTTTGAGTAAAATAAATTTCATCACAATAGAAAATATTTTGTCTTTAAAACACAAATGATTTATTAGGTTAATAAATTAAACTATTTAAAATTATAATTCTCGATTCAGGCAAATATATTACTGCAAAATCTCCTATATCGCAAGACCTAAATTACGGGACCGAGGATCGTTTCTGCCACCACTAATCCACCTAAATTTTTTTAATCAATATCCAAGGATAGTATACGTTGCATAACTCTATAAAGATCGCATCATCAATTTAAATCTTTCGCATCATCAATTTAAATATTTCGCATAATCTATTTAAATATTTAAATTTATTTCGCATTCATCGCGAGATGATTTTCAAAAATCAGCCAATCACAATAAAAGCCGCGTTTTGATTCTGATCATCAAAAGTAAATAGTATAACAAAAGTAAACAGTAAGCAAACAAAACAGAAATGTAAATTATTGACTATATTCGCAAAAATGTTACAGCCTTTGCTTTTTTTTCTACACGCTTTTTTTAAAAAAGTTTTTACTAAAATATGATTTATACTCCTATTTTTTGTTGCAAACCTTTATGTCAAGTACTTTGAGCTCATTCCATATGAAAATTGGTCACTTCAGCATTTTGATACTTTCATTATTGATAATTATGTGAATGCTGAAAAAGATAGTACACATTTTGGTTTTTTTAACAGTTTACATAATATTATTAATGATTCACAAACTTTGCAAGAAGTTCTTAATGCAGCGCAAAAGTTATTGAATAGGAAAAATGTAAGTATTTGAAGAATAATAAACATTTGGATAGATGGAGCTTTAACCAGGTTCTTTGTACTTGTTGGTGCTGCTAAGAGGGGTAGAGTATTATGCTATCTATTAGAAATACCAAATATTTTGTTAGCAAGATCGTAAGAAAATTATTATTAATTAATATTAGCAAAATATTTGGTACTTTTAAATAGTATATTTACTCTTATAAGTACTAAAATGGATGTGTTTGCTGGTGTGATTAGTGAACCTTATGGAATTATCCTTTTTCAAATTTTTGATAGAGGACTAGCTTCTTCTGAAGGAAGAATTAGTTACAGTATTCTTGCATCCATCATTTGTCTATTTTTTTTTTTATTTAATAATACTTATTGTGAAATATTTCTCATTCGATCTTGCTTTTACTTTTTATAAGCTGATGTTAAAAGCATTCAAATTCTATGGAATAGAGAACCTTTACCACCGTCACAATCATTATCTACATTAGGAAAACGAAGATCTAATTCAATAGATTTTTCGAATAAAAAGCAATGTCTAGTTCCAAACTTGGATTGCTTTTGTTCTAACATAGACATACCTTTTCGTATCAATAAGTTGGTAGATATTTTAGAAATATTAAAGTCTGTGCGTTTGATCAAAAAACTATTGCTCTAGGATCAACATGTTCTTATAAAAACTCGAATCATATAAATATAGGTTCTGAACAAAATGTGAAAGTTTCTAGAGAAAGTACATATGACGTAAAAATGTACTGAATCCTAACTAATTGGCTTATGAAGGTACATGACTTTGAAATAACTGGTCAGTGACATCTGGAACAAGCTCATGCAGATGAAGATTTTCATCACAGTTTTTGTGACCTAACAATTTAACAAGCCTGATACTTTTAGCATAGAAGAAACTCGTATCCGATAGATTCCGAAATAACGGTTACACAAGTTATTTATATGGGCAATTGAAAAATTGATATACGATAGTAGTCTAAAAACTGGAATTTTCACAATCTGTTTAATCACAAGTTTCACATTAAATATACTTTGATCAATTAATAAAATTTATTCGCTAAGTGTGTCTTTAACAGAAAATCTTTTTCAATCGTTTTCAATTGCTTACCTCAAAAAGTTTTCATAAGAATAAAGGTAGAACATTTGGTATTGGTAGAGTTTATTGAGTTTCTACTATGTTTAAATTATTAAGCAAATGTGTATTAGATTCACAAATTGCTAAACCATGAGTCTTATTAATATAAAATTTTATGTATTTATTAAACAGGCCAAGTAATATCAAACTTTTACAAGGTCTATTTCACCCGAATCAAGATATATATATGTATTATTTATTAAATAGAAAAGAAAACTAAGATCTCTAATATAGTATGTACAATAATGTGGTCTAATCGCAGTAGTTTAAACCAAGAGTAGTAACATGTCAGATATAACAACATGTTTTTAATGAAATATAGTGGTTAAAAAATAGAATAGAATGACTTTAGTATTGAAAAAGTTTCGCTTTCATTAATAATAAATTTATTTTGCGTATCGAAAGATTTTTTAATTAATTTGATTGGTCAATAATCATGCTTGGAGCTACATAAATTAGCCAATCATATGAATGTTATAACCCGTGATTTTCCATGAAAATACGAGTTTCTTCTATGCTAATACTTTTGAATGTCTTTTATATATATTTTTAGTTTAATTTTTAATTTATTTTTAATATTTATATTATATTTTATTATTGTTTTTAAAAATTTTTTTTAATTCCTTAATAAATACTATTTGTTACTAGTTTATTTTAATATCATATCAGTTATCATTATTGAAATTTTATAGTTTTGTGCCATAGCATTATAATCAATGTTGACAACAATAAATGAATAAAACTATAGAATAGAATAATAGAAGTTAGAGTAGAATACAACTTTATCAATAGAACAAAAAATTGTCAACTACTAACTATAATTAGTATTAATAACAATAAATAAATAGAACAATAGAATAAAATAATAAAAATTAAAATAAAATATAATTTTTATCAATAGAACAAAAATTGACAACACTGATCATAACTTCTATCATATGATCACTGTTATATGAGTGACGAAAAGGGAAAACCTGTAAATCATTTCACTCATTGATTGAGATGATTTACAGGTTTTCCCTTTTCGTTACTCATATAATAAGAGTGATGAAGATCAGTGGCATATAAGAAGAATTAATAGAAAGCAACGTTATTCATTTTATGCTTCCCAGTATTTTAAAGTTAATTAAAGGACGTAACGTGGGTAAGGTTGGTTATGACACTTGTGGTGGGATAGAGGCATATATGGCTACTAACCGATGATAAAATTCACTTTAAGAACATTACAGATATCGACCAAACCACCATAATCACGTCTCTAGCGGGTTGCCTTACCCCAATTTCCCTGTATTAGTCTATCCTATCCAGAAATTATACATTTCACCATAACATCGCTTTGCAAATCTTTCATTTCGTTGTTTTTAGGGTATTAGATGGTATTTAGGTGTCTTGCAGTGTTTCTTGAAAAATTCTGGGAACGTATGATTTTTTCTTGTATTTTGAACACATTTACTAATGTTATTATTTTTTCTCAGATATGCATCTTTAAGCTTTTTATTCCAGTTCTTGGGTGTATTACAGGGAAGTATGATTCCTTCTATTAGTTGTTTTGGTTTGTGAATGTATTTAATTAACTTTTATTTTCAGGTCAAACAGGGGTGTTTTGATCTTTTTGGTTCTTGGACGTATTGCAGAGCCGTTGGTTCTTCTATTAGTTATCTGGGCTAGCAAACACATTTAACTATCGTTTTTTTCCGAGATGTTACTCTAAGTGCTTATTGTGATTTAATTGAAGTGTTTCTTGTAACTACGTGCTGAAAATTTATCGTACAAAATGCGAAATTAAAATTTAGCTAATCAAAGTAACCATGAAAAAGAAGATGGTTTATACCTCTGTATTTTATTTATTAAATGATAACTTTACATTTTTAGTTCATTCGAGTTCGACTAAAATTTTTTCTGATCCAAAAAACATTGATGGGGTTACCTTCCTCTCCTTCTCAAGCCCAAATAATATTTACTATGTCGGCAAAAGGTCACTACCACGTTGAACTTTCTATTCTTTTGTCTTGCAAAGTTTTGTTATTTATAAGTACTACTTCGTCTGGGTCATATTTAAAGTTATCGTTACATGCAGTAGTAGAGTTAAGGTGTTACTTTAGTAGAAAACAGTGTGCACTTTGTCATTATTGCGTAAGAATCGATTATGGTTAATTACTGTACTTGAAATTCTCTTATTTTCTTCGCTAAGAGACCTTTTATATACTTTTTTTTTTTTTTTTTGAATAGGTTGGTTTAGCTACGAAAAATAAATAAGAAAAATAAACATTAGCAAACTTAAAGAACAACGCACTATATTATTACCCTTGACAATATGTCAGATATAGAAATTGCTAAAATACGTAAATAAGCTACTCCAAGTTCTTATTTGATCTATCGCAGAAATTAAATTATTAGCGCATCATAGTGATACCACTAAAATTATGTCAGTCGTTGTGCATTACTTCGGTCACTAGAAAATCGCACCTAAGAAGATGCTGAAGACGTCCTAATTTGCGTTGTTTTTTTTTAATGTCTTTAACGGAAGAACTCTTGTTAACGAAATTTCGATGTGTACTGAATTAGATGCTCATCTTCAATAAGATGTAATGATTATTGACTCGGTGCAATATTTACTTGTTTCAATCATTAGACCTTGCTTCTTTAATTTACGAAGAATGCGGTAATTATTTATCAACTTATTAACAATAAAGAGTATTACTTTTCTAAACGCTTTGTCGAAAAGTTTATTCGGTTTTATTTATTCAGTTTTATTTTGAATGTAAAAAATTTTTCACTTTATATAATTAACTTTCACTTATATACGTTTTCGATATCTAACACCAATTTATCTAACAGTCTTAGTCGCTAAATCACTATAAGGTTCTTAATTTGAAAATGAAAACGAAATTTTAATAATTTGATCTGTTTTTGAATTTAATATTATTGGCAGAAAATGGTACATTTGATTACGATTCCTAATCCCAAACTACGTAATATCATTTAAAAAAGAGTTGGGTTGCAATCCTACTCTTTTTCCTCCTCCTCTTCTTCTTGCACTTCCTCTGCATCAATGTTCCCACCAGTCGCTTTTAATTGTAAGGTAAGGTGATTATTAATATCTTTTTGAAGCAATAATAAGGTCTCAGTCAAAGATTTCATTGCCACTTTGCCTTGGTTGGAATTGAATGGCGGAACTGTATAAATGAATTCCTTGGGCGACCCTTCAAAAGCTGGATCTACATAGACTGCTCGAATGGTCGTCATGATAAGTGATAATTTTCAAGAAAAGTGATTCTTTATCATTTGATAATCTTATCTAATATCTACGGTTAGTGATACGAATTAGAACAAAATTTGTAGATTGCAAATCGATTACTTGATCTAATTTAATATAAAATAGTTGGGTAATCGATTAGTTATAATCGATTTTCTACGGTTATTCGCGATGCCTGCTATCGCTAGAGATGTTACACGAACTATTTGATACATCCCAAACTATGTGATGCATGATATCTCCTTATAGTTTTTGCTGAAATCGTGTGATGCTATTTCATCACACGGTATATTACGATAGTAGATATAAAAAGGGCATCCACATCGTTTCTTTTTATTAATAGAAAAAATAATAGAAATGTCTGTAATTCTTAAAGATCTTAATGATTATATTGCCCCTTCGCAAGCTTGTATAAAGCCAGTTGAAGTCAAAAAAACCTCAAAGGACAACAACGTAAGCTGATTGACGTTAAAATTTAAAGTTGAACCACTATTTTTTGCTTTACATTCGTTTCACTCTTGACATATTCTTACAGAATGTGATTAAACTTGATAATTCTGGTGAATATTATGAAGTTTCACAGGAGGGTATTGAGACAAAGCTAGAACCTGCAAACATAAGTTTAGAAGATTGTTTGGCTTGCAGGTATTATTTTTCCCCCGGCTCTCTTAACTTTGATCAACTCATGTTAATATTATACTTTTAACAGTGGATGCATTACATCAGCTGAAAGTATTTTAATAACAATGCAATCGCAAGAAGAATTATACAATGTCTTGAAAAGCAATAAGCAAGCAAAAATGGATGGGAAATTGGAGAAAATTATCGTTGTCTCTATTGCTCCTCAGTCTCGAGTCTCAATTGCCACGAAATATGGTTTAACTCCATTAAAGGTGCTCTTTCTCTTTGAAATCTTCCTATTTATTTTATAACTCATTCACTTAAAAAACTTTGCTAACAAATTGATTCTATAAGGCTGCAAAACGTCTAACTCATTTTTTCAAGTCACTTGGTGTACATTATGTATTCGACACATCGTTTTCACAAGATTTTTCATTACTTGAAAGCGCTCGTGAATTTGTCGAGAGATACCGAAAATTTCATGAAAATCGCGAAACCTCATCGTTTCCAGAAAATGGTTCAATAAAAAACAATCGAGTAAAGCGTGAAAATACTTCTTCTAAAGATACAACGCAACATAAAAGTACATCTTCAAAAGATGCAACGCAACATAAAAGTATATCTTCTAAAGATGCAACGCAACATAAAAATTCGTGTGATATATGTTTGCCAGTGTTAGCTTCATCTTGTCCAGGATGGATATGTTATGCAGAAAAAACTCATGAATTTATACTACCCTATATCAGTAAAGCTAAATCTCCCCAACAAATTATGGGTTCAATAGTTAAAGATCATTTAGCAAGTAAATTAGGAGCCGAGTGGGTACATTAATCTTTACATTAACCCATTTTCGTGCATTGTTTATTAAACTATATTTATTTTTATTATTTATAGGCCAAATAATATATATCATGTTGGAATCATGATGTGTTATGACAAGAAATTGGAGGCTTCTAGATCTGATTTTTTTAATGAAGGATGTCAAACTCGTGACGTTGACTGTGTATTAACGACTGGTGAAGTAGTTAAAATGTTTGAAGAACAAAATTTTAATATTGATGAAAGCCTCGAAATGCCGTTTGACTCGTTTGTTAAAGCAAGTCAAGAAGGGCAGCTCTTACGATCACCTGGTTCGGCATCAGGTGGTTTTCTTGAATTTATACTTGAATATTCCGCACGTGAATTATTTGGAATAACGGGGATTGACGTTGAAAACGAACAAGGTGTTACCATTAAGACTGGCAGGAACAAAGATTTTAAAGAAATCTCTCTTGAGGTAAAAATTATCATATATATCGCTTAAAGTAGAAATATCATTTACATGATCGAATGATACCTTTATTCGTATAGGTTGATGGTAAACCATTGTTAAAATTTGCTTCTGCATATGGGTTTCGAAATATACAAAATCTTGTTCGAAAAATTAAAAGTGGAAATAGTCCCTATCATTATATTGAAGTTATGGCTTGTCCATCCGGTTGCATAAACGGTGGTGGTCAATTAAAACCAAGTGAAACTATACCAATCAAAGATTGGATTAGTAAAGTAAATAATATGTATCTATCAGTTAATTCCTTGTCTCCTGAAAAAAATGAGGCTGTGCTAAACTTGTACAGGTAGATCTTTCTCACATTATTATTTTATTTTTCGTTTAAAAATTATTGATTTTTTTTTTCGTTTTATTACATAATTTTAGTGAATGGCTTGGAGGTAAGGATAATCCAAAATGCAAAAAAATGCTTTATACACAATATCATGCAGTAAAAACTATAACTAATCCATTGGCTGTTAAATGGTGAATTCTAGTAATAATATATATATAAATAAAAGATACATTTTTAAGCATTCTGTAAGCAATACCATTGCAATATGAGTATGGTGGAAATTGGTTTTGATTAGCCAATATTTATGATCTGAATGTAGAAGTTACACCAACCCCGGAATTATGTCATATGGGATCTTTGCTATGAATTTTTTTTACTAAAAATAAATTTAGGGACTTGTTAATGCCACCTCCTACATAATCTAACCCTAATTAATAATTAGGGTCTGAAAGGTCGGAGATTAAATATTTTATATAAAGGGGGTGGCATTAGCAAATCTCTAAATTTATTATGATTTTTCTAATTAAAATCTTGTGTAACAATGACTCGGAGTGTCATTTTGTTAGCAAAGCTCCCATATAAATTGACTAATAAAAATGTCATAATGTTGACTTTTTTGATTTTTTTTTACTAAAAATATATTTATTATGATTTTTCTAATTAAGATATCGTGTAACAATGGCTCTGAGTGTTATTTTGTTAGCAAAGCTTTTATACGATTAACGAAAGAACTAACGTATGGGAGGAGTTGTTCGTATATGCGATATTCAATGCATTTTTATAGTTTATTAAATTCGTGACAAGCTTTAAGATTATTCTAAAATAATTGCTATTATAAGGTAAAATTTTGCAAGAAAAAATTTTTGTAAAAGTATAAAAGTCAGTTTGTTATATAAAGTTTTGAGTTATAAATAGTTTTAAAAACGGTCAAATTTTTATATTATATTGATCATAATTGAATGGTTAATTATTACATGTGTGTATAAGTTCTTTTTATATTTTGATATTGTTTATAATTAGTATAATAATAAATTATAAATTTATTATAACAAATTGCAAAAATCTAAAATATAAATAATTTTATATTTTTTTTAAAGAAAAATTTAGGTTCTTTAAATTAGAAACTAACTCTTTTTAGATTAGAGAGTATAACTAGTCATATGTATATTTTTGATGTTTAATTTAAATAGTCGAATATAAAGGCTTTAGTAAGTTTCTTGTCAAGGATAAAGTAGTTCTAAAGGTATCAACTAGTATTAGAAACTTGGATGGATGTAGTTTTGAAAATGTTCTTGTGATACAAGAAGGATTGTATATGCAAAGGTTTTAAATAAACATGACTTCTAGTTAACTTGTAGGTATGGCATTTAGTGTAAAACTTATATAGTAATATATAAGTGAACTACTTAAATTAGGTATCAAAAGTGCATGTGTGACTAGTTGTAATTTTTAATGTAAAGTAGTTTCTAATAACATGCTATGTTTTATATACTTGAATAAAAATATCATATTCTAAAGATAAAGACTTTAACATTAAAAAATAAAAAAAAACAAAAAAAAACTGTAATATTTAGAAATTACAAACTATAAGTTAGTATATATATAGTACAGTTTTTAGAAGTAATAATAAGAATTAATAAGATAATAATAAATTTAAACTTAAATAGCAAGATTAGTATTATGTTTAAATTTTTTTTTTTATTATTATTAGTATAATATTTAAATAGAAATTTTTTATATATAGAATTATAAATTCTAAAATTAAAGATTTCTAAACTATATTTATGTTACAATTTGGCATTCAATATAATATTACATTTTCTATTTTTTATAAATGCTATAGTTAACTATTTTAAGTTAGTTTTTAGATAAAATAAATTAAAAAAACTTTTATTTAAACTTTTTTTTTTTTTTTTTTTTTTCCCTTAAGCAGTCATGCTAGTGCTTTATTAAGATTTTGAAATTACATTTGCAATTACA